AGAAACGACAGCGCATTACGGAATTTCGGTTGACAGTTCATGAGTTAGTCTACGTACTGTATATATAGGCACGTTTAAATGTTAACTGTTTTGCACACTTACTTACAGTCTGAGGTCGGCTTAGAGAACCAAAGTCGAAAATTTGCAATTACATTTGTTTATCTTTTCCAAAGAACTAATTTCCTAAGGATATATATATTATGATAAAGTAATGCTAACTGATCAAGTTACGGGAAATGCTTGTCCCGTTGTGCCATGCAGCTCAATCTCGAACCCTCACAGGCAGTCGAATAGTTTCTAGTTACATATCATATGATGGAATACCGACAAAGACAATGGAGACTGAAATAGTCATTTCTGGTTTGTTTTCCGTCGTCCGGCACTATACCCAATCCAACTGTGTGACATCTGAGATTCGAACCTGGGATCCTTGATCGTTGAGTCGGACGTTCTTCTATTGTACCACAGGCTCGTTCACCTTTCGGGTGTAATGAGGAACATGCACATGTTACCAGTCGTTATGCGAGGGCTCTAGTTTGGGCACCAAGGCACAACGGCACGAGCATACCCCGTAAGCGCCATGTCTACAAGATCCCATGTACCAATTGTGATGCCGTCTATTGTGGCCAGACCGGGAAATCCTTCCCAACCCCTATAGATGAGCATCAGGTAGCGGTGAAAGGGCAAAATTATCTATTCCAAGTCGCTTTGCCCACATTGGACACCGGACAATAATTTGCTCGGGAGAATACGCGCCTTGTTGGCGTCTAATCCATAAGGAGAGGCCGTGAATTGCTGGAAGCAATGCACCGAAATGAGGCATGCATCAATCGGCATATCGATCTAGATGACACGTACAAATTTCTCAAGGAAAAATGGAGGCGAGAGCAGTTAATGCCGAGAGGATGACGGAAAACCATTGACGCGCATTGGTGAAGACTTCGGCCAAACACGCAATCACTTGTTCGATGCTGTTTAAATATTTAAGTGTTTTTGTACATAACTCAGTAGTCTGACGACGAGATGGGAAGCAGTTTCAAAAGTTTACTAATAAAGTTCTCACTTTTCCCAAAGAACCTACCATCTTCAAAAGATTTATATATGTTGCAAGGACGGTTAGTGGGAGGATAAGAACTACAGTATACCGTAACGCGTAGAATACCAGACGCATCCTCCAATTCCTACTTCTGTGCCGGAACTCTCTTCCAAAGAGTTAAACCACACTGTGGTGATGACGACAGGAAAAAGGAGGAGGCAAAATACGTACATTCTTTATTCACAGCCAATGGTTACTCACGAACCTTCATACGTGAGTGTCGACGAAAGCTACCCGTCAGCGATAAGACCGTGAGAATCCGAAGTTTTGGCTTGCGATCCCCTACTTGAGGGATGTTTTCGAGCGACGAGTCCCAGGAAGTAGTCTTGAAGAGGGAGACACGATCGCCGGGACAAGAGCTTTATTAGCCTGACGTTTCGGATTCTTACTCGAATCCATCATCGGAGACAAAAAAAGCAGAAATGGGTGGTTGCTGCACAAGGGGCTGCGGTATTTATAGGATGCAGTAGCCATGCTAACGCATACCACTGGACATTCACGGCTCCTCCCTTCGTTCGGGATCGTCGCACTTGGTGTGATCATTGCTTGATGGCCGACATTCGAGTCGATAATTGCTGCAATTTCATCACGGGCGTTGGATGATGGCGTGATGATTGCTCGACCATCTGACGCACCGACCCCGGTGTTGGGAAAAGTGTTCACCTCTGCGCTCCCCGCATGGCTTGTTATTCCGCCTAGATGATGATGTAGCACGGAATATGCAGTTGGAAGATCGTTGTACTTGCTGATGGACCTGGGGCCAGTAAACCATGATTCCAGTAGCTCACGGCTGACTCGGTTGTCACCTCATGCGAGAATTTCGGCCTTATCGAATTTGAACGTGTGGCCGGATCTCGTCGAATGGACCGCAACTTGAGAGCTGGCGACATTTCTGCGCACCGCTGCCGCGTGTTCGGCCGATCTCGTTCGGAGCTGTCTTCCGGTTTCTCCGACGTAGTTGCTTTGTCCGCAACTGCACCAGATCCGATAAACGACTCCAGACGTTTTTAGCCGTGGCAGTGGGTCTTTCGGTTTCATGACTAGACGCCTGATGGTTGCCTCCGGTCTGTGTGTCACTCTAACCCCAAGTGGTGCGAGAAAGCGGCCGACAGCTTCCGAAACCTTCTTGACATACGGAAGTGCCCGCCAAGATTGGTGTCCGTGCGGTTAGGCCTTTCGTCCCTTTTGCGTATGCACCGGTCGACGAAGTTGCGCTGGTAGCCATTGGCTTTGAAGACCCGTCTGAGGTATTGTTGTTCGGCAATTTTGTCTCCCGGCTATCTGCGGTGCGTTTCGATACGCCCATAGAGCGTCCTTACACGACTGCGTTTGTGGCTGATTGGGTGGTTAATGTTGAAGTTCAGTACTTGCATCGTATTTGTCACTTTCCTGAACACTTTGGTTTTTAGTTCACCACAATCTTTGCGGCATGCGAGGACATCCAGGAAGGCTAGCTGGTTGTTCTCTTCCTCCTCAATCGTAAATTGAATGTCCGGGAAGACGGCGTTGAGATGTTCTTTACTTGTGCTTTACTTGTACCCCATACCAATATCAATGTACACATCGGATGAGACGTTAGCAAAAGCACATGTGCAGTAGGTGTGTTAACTCGTGAAATGTTAACCGAAATTCTAAGATGTGCTTTTGACTCCAAAAGATAACCTAAGTAGGGTTGTAATATTAAGTCTAATGCATGCTTATTGCGAAGATAATTTGTTTACTTCAGGATGCCAGCATCTGAGTGAACTTCTATACAAAAATGCACTCCCTAAAGAAGGAGTACTTATTTGGTATGAACGTTTCTCATTGATTTTTCATGTCCTTATGCATTCAAATATATTTCGTAGAAAGATGCATAAATATACTCAATATTTCATTCATTTGGTGGAAAATAACGGTTCCTTTAAATTTATGACTTGGCGGAAGTGTATAATTTGGTTTCAAATGTTTGGAATTATGAGATTTTTGAGACTGTGAGGAGGCCGTTCATGAAATATCGTGTTTCTACATTTACAAATTTCGCTTGTAAATTTTACAATTTAGTTGAATCCACTGCTAAATTGTGAGAACCCCTTATGGTCTGCGTTTAAAAGCGTAGAAAAATTTACGGTTTTCCATATAGGGAAAATATACGGCCTTGAATGTATTTGCAACGGGAAGTCGGGTTCAAAATTACTCAAAAAAACTAAAAATGTAAAATTTGAAGAGGTCACAATTCTCTACCAGATATTTACAAGGATGAATATTGTCTAGCGTTTTTTTCCATGAAATTAATCCGAATTAATCAGGCAGACCTCAGTGGTGGAGCAGCTGCGCTAGCTATGTGAACGCACGTTTTTTTCCGGTCCCAGCTGATGGTCAGTATTATGATTGGCTGGATGAAAGCAAACAAGCCCGAAACAGTGCTGATCAATCTACCTCACAGACTCCGTCGTTGCTCTCTGCTACCATAGCTTGGCCGACTTTGGCCTGGTAGAGGGTTGCCCGTTCGCGACCCCTATCACCGACAGGACGTCTGTATATATATTTTAATATAAACGAGCTCATTAGGATGAATAGAGGACTTTATTGGTCAAATTTTGGACGCTGGTTACCAGGTCGTAGTCAGACCTGAGTGACTGCACAATAACAACTAACATTTCGATCGTACTGAAAAATCAATATTCATTTGGTGTTTGCGCCAGTAAGCGCCCGCCGTGTACGTCATTCTGTAGTGATTGCCTCGCGTCGTCCGAGTTCGCGCCTACAGATAAGGTAGAAGGTTTTTTGAAGCCATGCAGTCCGATGAATCACGCATGTACAGAAATCTCAGGGGAAGGTAGGAGAGACGAGAGTCAATCAGTACAGAATAACGCACACAGTGACCTCTTGCAGGCGTAACAACCAGGTAAATGTTGTTTTTTAGCGTGTTTGAAATGTTAAACAAAACAATCCTTGGTGATTTGGATCTAACCAAGGGGCCTCCGAAAGGCTCACCGATCGCTGCGGATTTGCTATTTCTCTTAGCATCACGTAGACCGGCCCGACTTGACGGTTTCAAGCCTTACATTTCGCAAAAAAGGATCAGGGTGAGACGAAACAGCGTAACCGAAGTCAGCTGGCCTCCATCGATATCGGTGTCCTTCTTGCTCATCAGCCAATTGGCAGCTTGCCAGGCGGTCAAAGATTCCGAGTCGCCTTTGCTGCAATCAGCATGCTACAGCCCATCCTCCTGGTGCTGGATGAGCCTACGCATCAGCTCAATATTGAAACTGTCGGTGCCCTGGGTGGGGAGATAATAAATTTCCACGGTGGGTTGGTGTTGGTTTCTCACAACGAGCATCTCATATCCTCGGTCTGCAACGAGGTCTGGGTTTGCTCACCGTGCCACTTTGGATCCGCGAGGAGTGTTAGCGTGGCTGGGTGAAGGTGGCTCAACACACACGGACACTGGACACAAATTTGGAAAGGAAAGGCCGCGCATTCCTGGAGGCAATGCACTCGGGGGGGGGGCATGCATCAATAGGCCTATCGATTTAGATGCCACATACAAATTTATCAATGACAAATTGAAGCGAGCGCAACCAATGCCGAGGAAATGAAGAACCACCATTGGCGCGCATTGGCGCAAGCTTTGGCCAACCATAGAACCCCTAGTTCGACACGGTTAAAATGTTAACCATTTTGTGCATAGCCCAAAAGTCTAAAGACGAGCTGGAGAACCCGACCCGAAAATTTACGCATTAAAGGTTATTTTCTTCTCAAGGAATCTTAGTTATTGCCATGTAAATTCCATTCCATCATATATACATATATTTGTATTTTCATCATGAATCGCAAATCGTAAACAAACATCATTTAAATAAGTTGGAAGGGAACACCTTCATGTGATGTTATCTTTCGATTGATAATGCGGGATTCATTATCAGATTTTAAGGGCCTTCACAAAAACATCCAGTCCTCCCACTAAGGGTACTGCACTGGGAGTAAAGCCAAGCATGTGCACGAACATATTGGACAGGGGATGAATCTTGACTCCCAGCTTCATCAACATCATGCCCACATAGACGTCCTCATTGGGCAGGGGGCGCGTGAAGGCTGCGGCAATGGAGAGTTTGGGAATGAGATCGGCGCCGATGATGTAGCAGGGACCAATCGGATAATCCGGATAATGTGGGAACGGATAGTCTGCAGTCCCCGTGAACCATTTTGACCCAGTGTTTCGAACCACCGCTCTCCTAGAGTTAATTGAGCCGAAAATGCTTCCACGGACTTAGGACAGTGAGAACCTTGAGAAAACCTGGTGCGGTTGTGTCACATTGATTCCATGGTCGTCGTCGAGGAAGACGAATGAGGGACTGGTGTGTAGACAGTGGTGATGAACATAGCGCAGATTGGTGATCGTCTTAAGGGTCAGATTTAGGTAAGTGTCGACATAATTTGCCAGCAGAATGTCATCGAATTGCGAAATCTCACTGAGCAGTCCGGGCGGCATTTGGCCATTCCCGGGAAGCCCCAGACTGAAGAGGAGGCCCACAGTGGCATTGATTGTCACTGCCTGTCGACGAATGACCTCGCGCAACTGTCGGCGTCGCGCAGAGTTAGCGAGAGCGCTCTTTACAATGATCATCGTCGTGTATGAATTGGCTCTCCCCGCCGCACAGACGGACATGCTGGCACGAACTACCGAGAGACTGGGGTTGTTGATGGGTTTCTTTATGTGCAAAGGCAAGGTGTGTCTTTCAGTCAAACATTTAAATTTTTGAATTCAACTACAGCTTATAATGACTGCTGGAGTCAACAGTTTGAAAAGTTGTATAGCAAGGTGCATGCTTAAATTTTCACATGCGGTCAATACAGTTCCCGCACGCTTCGTAGGAGGAGGAGTCGAGTGACTGGATGGTATTTTGCTGACCAGTCGTTCTGCAGAGGAACTACTGAACAGTTAGAAAATGCACATGGAAGTGAAACCCGAGTTTCAAAAAGTAGTTGAGAAGGAGAAAAATAAAAAATAAGCGAGAAAGAAGGGACAAAGAAGATGCAACTTCCAAAACGAGAACAAAAATAGCATGGCGTTTGGAGTCCTTACTCGAACGCATTACCAGAAACAGTGCAGATATAGGTGACAGATGCAAAATCTGCGTGGGTTCGTGAATTACTAATCAATAGAAGCGAAGAGACGAGTTTCAGGAAGTAATCTTGAAGAGGGAGACACGATCGCCGGGACAAGAGCTTTATTTGCCTGACGTTTCGGATTCCTACTCGAATCCATCATCAGAGACAGAAAAGCAGAAACGGGTGGTTGTTGCACAAGGGGCTGCGGTATTTATAGGATGCAGTAGCCATGCTACCGCATACCTATGAACATGCATGGCTCCCCCTTCATCCGGGATCGTCGCAGTTGGTGAACTATCTGGCTTTCACCCATTGCACAATTTTACAATGAATGTCCAGTAGATGTATAACTCATGAAATGTCAAAAACAATTTCGCGATAAATTAAGTAAAATGTAAAACTAATCATGATGCAGCATAAAGCTTTAATGCTTTCGTTACGCCAGGGTATCTCCATTCGAACAAACTTATTTTCGGGTGCATGCAAGATCTATATTCTGCAAAAAATGACTACAAAAGTATCATGCGATTTTCTCATTAAGTTTCGATGCCCTTGAAAATTCAATTATATTTCATGGAAAACATGCATAAAAATATTCATTCTTTTACTTCTTCGGTAGTAACTTACGTTTTCTTCGAATTTCATACTGAAAAAAGAGTACAATTCAGTTTTAAGAGACTTTTTAAATTCCCGAATGATTGTGAATCCGACCTGCTGTTAAAATTGCATTCAGGGTTTCAAAAATACAAGCTGTATATTTTCCATGTACGAGAAACCATGCATTTCTCTACGGTGTTGAGAGGAGACTATATGCAGTTCATAAAATTAAGCAGTGTATGTTAACTTTACATGCAACAATCGTTAAAACAGGTAAATGACGTTTCATGAACGGCCATCCAACGGTATTAAAATATCTCACAAAATCTTTTGTAAAACAGAAGTATATTCTTTTCTTCAGTATCAAATTGGAAGAAGACTAATGGTCTACCAAATAAGTAAAAAACGATTATTTTTATGCATGCTTTCCACAAAATATAATTAAATTTTTAAGGAAATCGAAAATCATTTTGAAAATGGCATACAATATACGTAGTCATTTTTTCCAGTGCATGGATCTTGCATGCAGCCGAAAATCACTTCATTCGAAAGCCAACACACTTAGGTAACTGGATAATTATAGATTAAGGCTGCATCTTGATTAGTTTTTACAAAACTACTTAATTTATATTTTCGAAACGAAAATGCGTTTTGAAATTTTGGTTAACATTTCATGAGTTAGCACATCTATTGTATGATATCTTCCTGACATCATAGGGAAGGTGATATTCCTTCGGCAAAATATAAACATCATGTAGTTTGCAAAACCTGAATGAAAATTTCGACGGCAAATCGGGTTCGAAAGTACTCTTGATTTTTAAAAATTTTCAAAAACCGGTAGATACTCTCTTTTCAGGAGGTAAATTTGTGAACGTAATTTGATAACCGAGCATAAGAGTGACAAATTGTGAGCATGCTTCATATAACATATAATATACTTTACGAAAATCTTTAGAATCGATATATAAATTTGCACAGTTTACTCAATCCCTTATACAGATTGTGGTTTTTGTAGACGACCAAAAGGAGCTTTTTAAAAGGCCGGCATCCTAATGTGACTGATGTATCTTTTGGCCATGCTGCAAGATATATATTATAACAATCTCACTTAAGCAAGCTTTTTAAATCGAAAACACATTTCAGAATTTCAGTTATTATTTGGTACAATAATAATGCAAACAGGGACTCCTTTGTTTAAACGGTCTGAAAATGCTTAGCCATTTGAACCTTTTACGTGATGTCACATAAATGACCATCATTAAATGACTATTTCCAAATAGGAACATACGAAACACTATTTTTCGTGTAGCTTAGCTTCCGCACATACGTAACAATGAACTGGAACGAGCGGAACGTTAATAGTTTCAGCAAAATATCAGTATTTATGACAGTTCGACCATCGATTTCGATGATGTCCATCGTGTGCCCCACAGTTACAGCAGCAATGTGAGCAGGGACGGTGACTTAAGCAGGGTTTATAGTGCCGGTAGACTTGCGTAGCATCTACCTACACTCTCTCCTCCTCCCTTGCCCAAGCCCGGTGTCAAGACAGAGTCAATAAGACCGGAGACGAGAGAGGCCGCAGGTGGATGGCTCGGACGGATCCCCACTTTGGCGTTCCACCACACTCCCTGGTCCACACAACAAATAACCAGGATTTCAACCAACACAACAGAGATTTGGAGGCTGGCACGGCCGAAGCCGCACCTGGGCGTGCCGCCGACGCCTGGCTCGGATCCCACACTGTGATGGGAGTGCCATAAAGGCCACATTAAAAAGGAGCCATTGCAGCCTGACTCTCAGACCGCCTCCGGTCAAGGAGGAGGTCCAAGTTACCCCGTCAGTTGGCAACCTTCCAAGCCACGGCTTTTAGCGCACCGTTATAGCTTCAAGCGCGTCAGATTGATTATAGTGAGGAGAAAGTGCGCTGAGTCGTCGACCTCACTCTCCCTTCCCACTCCCACACCCCAGCCGCTGTCCGAGCCGGTCAGCAGACCGGAGTTGGGAATGGGCGCGGTGGCTGTCATGGTCGACTGACCATGACTGCGCGCGCCACGGCACGACCTGGCCCCCCATACACACAGAACCAGGATTTCACACAGCGGGGGTTGAACGGCGTGTCTCTCACTTGCGTGAGAGTGCCGTGGAAGGCGCAATGTCCATTCACATGGCATCGTGCCAGTCCGTTTACCACTGCTTTTTTTAAAAAATGCAACACAGTCCATTGCAAAACTGTATGGACTCTATATGGTATCTTTCTAAAGACATAGAAGAACGTATGATTTACCTTACACGGAACGCACGGAACTTGTAGACTAAAATGACTAAATGATAATGAAACATCTAATTATGTTCTAAATTATTCGGGAATTAGTAAACTTTTAAAACAATGCATATCCCTTTTTATGTATAAAATATAAAGATGACGTGACTCTCTATCAAACAACTGAAAAGCGTATTTTTGCTCATGGTTTCAAAAAAATATATTTAAATTTGCAAAGCCATCGAAAATCAATGGGAAAAATGCGTGCTACCCAAAAAGAAATTTTTACCGAGAAGGCTTTCTACAGGAGATTGAAAAACAATGTACTTAACAGCCGCCGTTCTGCCGAGTAAGAAACATTACGAGATTTTGCCGAAATATACTCAGTATGAGAATAACGTCAAAGTAGTCCTTCCTAATCGAAGACGTATTTCAGAATTTCAGCCAACATTTGATGAGATCGGTCACTCACTGTATGATGAACGCAGACAGGCTATCCCTTGACCCCGAAAGTGGAGGTAAAGACAACAGTAGAAAATGGAGGAAAACTGTGCATATGTCTTGACAGACGGTTTGTACGTCCGGCCTGAATATTATGCTCCCACTTATGTCTGACAATTTCCGTTTTTAAAGAAACAGTAAAAGTGTGATTAATGATCAACGCGTCCCCTTCTCTTTATCAAAGCGCTTTCCCCATTCATCAGGAACGGTGCTCGTTGTAAGGATCGGTTGAAAGTTCGTTCCAAAATCAAGGCGAATAACTTATTGTCGCCAACATTCCCCATCGTCATCATTATAAGCACGATCAAGAGGAGGAGAGGGAGAAACACTAGAGGATGGAGAAGGTGGTAACGGCCAGTAGAAATAAATTGATGGTTCACTGACAGCTCAACCGTCGTTGCGGACGATGTCCACTGTGTGGTCCGCTGAAAGATGACGCAGACACGGTGGCCTGAATTTAGGCTTGCGCAGCATCTACCGCACTCTTTCCTCTTCCCCCACCTGGACCGCATGTCAAGACAGAGTCAAGAAGACCGAAGGCGGGAGGACGCAGGTAGCTGGCGCGGCCGGGCCCTCACCTAGGCGTGCAACCAAACCCCTCGTCGACTACATACACCTAACCAAGACTCTTCACCTCTAGCAACACCCCAAGATGCGTCAGAGCGACGAGGATGACTGGGCAGCCATGCCCAACACCTGTTTACCCAGCGGGATGAAAATGGCGCCCAAAGGGTTATCCAATTGCCGTGCATAAACTACCCCGATTTTGTGATTAACGATCACCGCCGATAGTCCAACCTGTAAGTACAGTAATGGCTCATCTTGCCCTCGATGTAGATTAGAATGAGAACTACGGCTGGAGAAGAGTAGTTACTTTCGCATCAGCTCATTCACTTGACTTCTGATTCTCTCTCTCCCCACACACACTCGCTGTCTAAGTGGCGGTTGGGGGACTGGAGATAAGACTGTAAGTGGTAGGTGACGTAGTGCAGGATCACGAAAGTACTCACTCCGCAAAAATCGCCTACAACAGACCCACAGATGGTTACATTCAGAAGAAGCCATCATAGTCTGACCCCTGAGTCTGGAGCGCAGAGCTGCAGACGGGAGAAGCCGGAGGAGGCGGCTTTCTGAGCCGCAACTTTTGGCGCGGCATGTTGTTGGCTTGAATTTAACGTCGCTTCGTGAGGAACGACATCCCCGCTTGGTGTATTCAATTATAAAACATTTAAGAAGGATAAAAATCGCTAAGTAAAATCACCAAGCAAATATAATTGTTGTCTATCAAACATGGTGAGATTATGCGCCTTTGAATGAGTTCTCTGGCACATAGGAGAATATATGCTGTGATCGATAACTCGGAAAGTCCAAATTATAAGTTGACAAAGATAGGGTGAATGACCCCACGTATCTTTCGGTAGACTGTAGATCGTTTCCGAGCTCCTACACGTTGACGCTGGCAGTATCTGCAGAAGTCTGCAAATGGATGACAATTTAAAACTGCATATGATACAATCCACAGTCTACTGACAGCTAAATTGGAATCTTTTAACGTACCATTGCCTAAAACCTAACCCAACAGCTCTGTGCGCGGTTATTTTGACTGGCAACACTATTCCTTTGGCCTGACCTGCGCACATGTGATTTATGCCTCTATATTAGCGATGCTTAATTTTAAACACATAAACCAGACCCGATGGCAGCTCAACCAAATGCAGAAATGACAAGAGAATCAAAGGCGAGCTTTCGGTTTGGTGAAGGCGCAAAAGCACATTGGTTCCGGCAATAGCCTGTATATTCAGACGGGCAGTCAGCACAAGTAAGGCAGCAGATAATACTAGACTTGCGCAGCATTCACTACACTTTCTCCTTCCCCAACTGGATTCGGTGCTAATACAGATTAACGAAGATCGGAGGCGGTATAAGACGCAGGTGGTTGGCACGGCCGAACGGGGACCTAGGTGCGCCCTCAAATCCCCTGGTCCACAACATACACTTGACCAGGATTTTTCACCACCAACAACAACAGCCCAACAGGGGTCAGAAGGACGAGGATGATGACTGGGCAGCCATGCCTACCACTTGTACACTCAGCGGGAGTGCAAGCGCATCTTCCGGCAGGGATTCAGGTGTCAGAGAACTGTCACTCCATAACATACTCCGAGGGGCATGGGTTGCTGATGCTGGCATAGCACACGCTTTCAGATCTTTAGGCCACACAAAACGTGGTCTGCAGTACTTTTGCCGGGCTACATCAGGTGCGAGCCTCCCAAGTCAATGGTATCTGCAGGTTCAGTCGCTCAGAGTTTTGCCCACCCTAACAGTGATAACTACTTAGGTCGTTTGCATCTTAAAGAAATTAAGATTGTGTTGTATGGCTTGTGTTTATATGTGATGCCGTATAGGTTCATGTGCACGTCAGAGCTTCTAGTACTGTTTTCGCAATCTCCTAACTATAAATTCTCACGTGATCGGTGATATTACTGTGGGTACTGAGCTGTTATTTGCGACTACCCAGGTAGTGGTGTTGATACTGGTGTTCGGATGGGATTACGTCGATGGTTGAGGAGCTTTCGAGTGTATGACGTGTGTTAATTGCGTTGATTGTCGCTATCGTGTATACACATAGAGATAAAATTATTCTTGTCGCGTGTGAATGTCCTGAAGCAGTGTCGGTAGGTAAGACTAGTGCGACAGGTACCACTAGCGCCTTCGTTTTGGGTCTTTATTTGATGGATTCGCCAGTGACCTCCCAGGTCTATGTAAGATCCAAATGTAGGGACACAGTGAGAACATAATGCAATTAAATCATAATTGTTGGCGGTAGAGTAAGGTGATGCTTGGCAAAATGGTAGGCGGATGACCACAGGTGATGCTAATGGTGGTGGTGGTGGTGGTGACACTGTGTTGTGAGACTAGAGATCGATATACGGCTGTAAGTGCGAATTAAAGTAGGTGGGCTAACTCACGAGATGCCAATCCAAATTCTGAAATGCATTTTCTTTTCGAAAAGATTAATTAAGTGTGGTTCTAAAACTAATAACTCTACAGCATAATTTTATAATAATTCAATTGCCGAAGGATGCTGGCTTTCGAGAGAACTTCCTTCCGTCCGCATGCAAAAACTGCACTCTGGGAAAAATGACTGCTGATGTAGCATGCATTTTTCTCATTACTTTTCGATGCCCTTTAAAGCCAAATTATATTTCATGGACAAAATTCATGAAAACATACATTGTTTCGTTCATTTGGTAGAAAATTACGTCTTCTTCTAATCCTATACTCGCAGGAGGGAGATGATTCGGTTTTAAAAAACTTTCTAATTATGCGATTTTGATTACCGTGAAATGGCCGGTCATATAACGTTATGAGTCGGCGTTTACCAACGTGGCTTTTAAAGCCAACAATATTGATCAGATCCAATGTTAAATTTTATGAACCCTATATGGTCTCCGTTTAATACCGTAGAGAAATGTGTGGTTTCCTATAAGCGGAAAAGATACGGCTTGTAGTTAAGAAACCCTGATTTGAAGTGTAACGGCAGAGCGGGTTCAAAATTATTCGGAAATAAAAAAAAATTATTGAAAACCAAATTATATCACTCATTCGAATATAAGATTTGAAGAAGGCATAATTTGCTACAGAACGAGCAGAAGAATGAATATTTTCATGCATGTTTTCCATGAAATATGGTTTGATTTTTAGGAGCAGCGAAAATCAATGAGAAAATCAATGCTTCTTAAGTAGTCATTTCTTACAGAGTGTAGTTTTTGCATGCATCCCAAAGTAAATTCTTGCAAAAGCAGACATCGTGAGGTAACGGAATTATTATAAAATTATACCGTTGGCTAATTAATTTTACAACCCTACATAATCACTCTGCGAAAACGCATTTTGGAGTTTCGTACAGGCGAGCCAGAAGGCCTTGAAATGTTGTATGTCCAAGAAACGGAAGTAAACAGCTGAGAATAGGAGTCAATTAACAATGGATATCTACTTCAAAATTTCACTTAATTTCATTTCCGTTAGTCGCCAAATATAAACAGCTTCAGTTCCTAGAAAAAGGTATTTTGAGCAGGCACTGCTAAACCAACCTCTTCTACGCCCTGCTTGATAACAGCATAAAACGTATTCTAGGGAGACAGTATGCTGGACTTGTGTTTTTTTAAATTTTAGAACTGGGTAAATGTGAATATGTAGCTATTTTCATCCAGCAGAATACCGCTCATCCGCGGGGCAGAATTCCGGGAGGATTAGTTTCGAAAACCGTTATAACAAAAAGCTCGTTGTTCAGTGTTAGATCATCGAGCAATTAACGGTAGACGGCAAAAGAACTTGGGCTTGAGCACCAGGTTTTGCAAAGAAGCGGTTGGGCGTAGGTGGCTGACGGGTCGTCGGTGCGTCCGTCAGTGAACCCGTCGGTGCTTCTATAAACATATATATGAGGGTACATCTGTATACATAGTGTAGGCGGGAGCGCACCGATTGTGCTTAGGAAACCACTCGTTGCGTCATGCATGAGTGTTCTCTCCCTAGTTACGCCAACATCCGACAAGACGGTGAGCTTGTGGTACAATAGTAGGCGGCGTTGAACTTCTAACCAACAGGCCGCGAGTTCGAGACTCGGGTGTTCCACACCACGGGGTTGGGTATGGCTGACTGATGATGACCAACAAACCAAAAATGACCACTTCAGTCTCCATCGCCTTTGTCAGTAGTGCTATTCTACTCGTATTTTTTGCCTAAAGATCGACTGGAGGTCAGATCACGGAATATGTTTGAACTACTGCGCCCTCGACCTTAATCTAAACTCGCACAGGCCGTTAAAGGAGATGACGACAAGGAAAAGAGACTGAGTGACAATCTCCGGCTGAGCAACATATCGTCGGTTTACGATCAGACATTAATATAGCAAGATTCCTCTGAATATCAAAAGAGAGCCAATAATAGACTTACGACGTTCATTTCCAATCCGTAGGTATAGGCCAACACGACAGTTCTAAGATCCAGGTCCATTGGATAGGCCTGGTAGGCCTCAGGGATCCGAATTATGGACCATTCACCTTGCGGAAGGGTACCCAAATCCTCAAAAAACAGACATTTCTCACCCTGAGTAGTATTCACCGCAGCTGTAAAGAGTTCTCTCTCAGACCGACAGGTCCGTAGACCAGCATCTTTCACTCCAGAGTTGGTTTCGCCGATAGGTCGACAGAGCTCAAGACTGCCGTCTGTGCAGGTGCGATAGAAAATCGTTTCGGGGGCGGCAATACTGCCGTTTAAAATGGAATTGTCCAGAAAGCTTGCCTCTGATGCGTCTTGCCTATGGCTTACAAATCCGTACACAAGACACTGACCTCCGAAAATGGCAAATACTAGCACACAGCGATTTCGTTGAGCAGAAATGGCTCGCAGAACTCCCTGTCTTTGCCTGTCTAATCCAACATATCTGAGTTGAACCATTACGCGTAATCACGCGTATGCAAGTCCTCACTCTCTGAGAGCTGCAATTTATAGAAGTGACAAGGTTCTGAAAGAAAGAGGACACAGTGGGAGTGCGTTTGTGCTTGACCCACGGGAAACGAGACATTAACTGACCTTCAAATTCGCTGTTCTCGCCACCAAACGTGACCCGACGTGGGCAGACTGCATGAAGAGAAGTCCTTGAGTAGAATTAATATTGCTTTGTGTGACGATTGATTGATCGTTGAGCGAAACCTAGGATGCTGTGTGCCGACTGCAGATTAGATGTAGGTCTTACCCAGTTTTAAGCCAAGAATGGCGCATTTAACTACTTGGGCCAAGACAGTCCTCTTTTTGTTGCTTGTTCAACTTTTAGACCATTGTTAGGGGTTTTTGACAAGTATGGGTAGAATCCAAAGATAAACGTATATCCAAACTGTGGATTCGAATACACGACATCAAACTCAGCACTCGCTTTAACCTCATTAAATGTATCAAAACTGTACCACTGCGACCGATAGTGTCATGAATCGGTGTATCGAACTACAAGATTTCCGAATGGCTGAACTACAAACTCCAACCATAAACAAAGGAGTGCGAGAATTCAAGCGAAACTGTTTATTGAATTTATAAACAATATCCGAGGACTCAAAATTTAACCGGATAAAATTATAGTATCCTCCAAAGTTGTCTCGCTATTCACGTCTATACCAATCGATTTGACAAAGCAATACACAGTAGAACTCCTCCAATCCTATGTCGTCGCTGTTCCTACATCGGCTTTGCTTAAACTCTTGGACTTGTGTCCGGAAACAAACTTTTCGTTCACACATGAAGGCAATCGACAGCTTAAACGAACTCCTATGAGGTCACCAATTTCTGGCTTTCCGGTTGAGGTCACAGTGCACAAATTAGAGGTCATTGCCGATAGAAACAAAGACGAGAACCACAGAAACTGGTCGATGAGAAGAAAAAGAGGCGATCGTTTAAACAAGGGCTTTATTCGGCCGGAATTGGTTATGCAGTCTCATCTGAAGTAAACAAACCTCAGTCACTTCAAATGCGGGGCGGTGGTGATAGCGGATTTTACAGGCGGGGCCGGGAACACACAGACGAGGAGGCCAAGTAGGTGTATGCAAAAGAAAAGCTATTGGGAATGCGCAGTTGTAACTTGAGTTATTGCGAAATAGTTGCGCTAACCTCTAACTTTCACCCCTAATCCTAAACCGTGACCCCTAATCCTTAGCCACAGCACCAAGAGTAATTCATCCTTCGGGTGGGCCAACCAAACCACATCTCACACTTTATTCGCCTGACACTTCGGATTCTCACTTGAACCCATTAGCAGAGACAGTGGTAGAAAAGGGTGACTCGTGCACAGGAAGTTGAAGTATGCAGTCGCTATGCTAGCTCATACCTATGGTAATCAACCGCGGGGGAATCGTAGAGAAGTTACGTTGAAGACTAAGATAAGGCAATAAAAGACACCTCCTAGCGATCAATTTAAATAGTTTCAATATCCTGACCGTGGGAGATAATGAAGCGATCAGAAGAAGAAGAGGAAGAAGAAGAAAAAGAAGACGAAGAAGAAGAAGCGATCGCTGGAATAAGGGCTTTATTCGCCTTTTCTTGATGGTTGCATGCAAGTTGTAAATTACCAAAATGTCACCACCCGTGTTGGATGCTGGCGTGATGATTGCTCGGCCATCTGGCTCACCGGTTTGCGCGCGCCCCAAGTGGTCATTTACTTTGACCAGCCTATGCCTGAGCACAGAATATGGAGTGGGGATTTCGATGCACTTGTTGATAGACTGAGGTCCCCTGAACCATGACTCAAGCTTCTTACACAATAACCCCCTCTCGTTGTATCGGCCCGCTTGAATCGGAAATGATTAAGCGATGTTGTCATGTGATAGATGACATAGATTCATAGAATTTATTCTCATACCGAAACCCTAGTAAATATGGAAGTACAGATAGAATAACCTTTGGTATTAGTGTTCCAATGAAGTCCAAATCTCAATATCGTCTGAGAATTAGCGTAATTCCATATATGCCGGTTTGTAAACAGCCTAAAGTCTGAGTATAGATTCCAAAACAGTTTTCTAGGGATTCGTAATATTTTGACTCGGTAACAATTGGGAGATGACACTAAAAAAACACCCCCCCCCCAAAGCAGGCTGTCTTACGGTTAGCTTCATAAAGTCGACGTAGACTGCGTCCACTGCATTGCCACCATCGGCTGCCCGGGTCCAGCGTTCTAAAAAATAAAGTAGGTTTGTCGCGCATGATCTGCCTCTACGACACCCATGCTGGGCATCGGATAGCAGATCATGCTGCTCTAAGAAACGCATTATCCCTCGCTCAATTATTTTTTCCATTATCATGCAGCAAATCGAAGTAAGGCTGATTGGTCAATAGTTGTTTGCCAAGACCTTGCTTCCGACGTTATAAATTGGAGTGATTTGGGCAGATTTCTAATCGGCGGGCAAAAAGTATACTTCGAACAAAGCCCGGAAGAGCATGCACAACGGTTTACATAGTTACCGATACAAGCGAAGATGCGAGCTCCAGAAATTAGTTGATCAGAAGGAGAAGCGATCGCTGGAACAAGGTCTTTATTCGCCTGACGTTTCGGATACTCCCTTGAATCCATCATCAGAGACAGTAGCAGAAAAGGGTGACTCGTGCACAGGAAGTTGCAGTATTTATAGGATGCAGTCGCTATGCTACCGCATACCTATAGCGATTAACCGCGCTCCCCTTCATGAAGGATCGTTGCACGCTGGTGCGCTAATTGCTTGCTGGCCGGCATGCAAGTTGCTAATTACCGAAATGTCATCACCCGTGTTGGATACCGGCGTGATGATTCGGCCATCTGGCTCACCGGCTTGCGCGCGCCCCGAGTGGGCAATAACCTTGACCAGCCTATGCCTCAGCACGCAATATGGAGTGGGGATGCCGTTACACTTGTTGATAGACTGAGGTCCCGTGAACCATGACTCAAGCAACTCGCGGCTTACGCAATTATCTCCTCTCGCGAGAATTTCGGCCTCATCGAACTTGAATGTGTGGCCGGGTCTCGTTGAATGGGCCGCGACCTGAGAGTTAGCGTCATTTCTTCATACCGCTGACGCGTGTTCGGCAATTCGCGTTCGGAGCCGTCTTCTAGTTTTTCCGACGTAGTTGCTTTGTCCGCATCTGCACCAGATCCGGTAAACTACTCCAGATGTTTCATGCCGTGGCAGTGGGTCTTTCGGTCTCATCACCTGACGCCTCCGGTCTCCAGTGTGCGTGCAACTCCAACCCCAAGAGGTGCAAGACGGCGGCTAACAGCCTCGGAGACGTTCTTGATGTACGGGATCGCTAGCCAGAATTTGGCTATGGCACGCTTTTGTCGCTCGTCTCGTTTGCGCATACACCGGCCGACAAAGTTGCGCGGGTAACCATTTTCTCTGAGAAATCGTCGAAGATATTGGAATTGGGCAAACTTGTCTTCTTAACTACGCTCCTCCGTGCCTTGTATGCATCTATCGACACAGATCCCCTATCCGAGAGGAAATTCCTCCATAACCTCCACATTGTATTAACATTTTAAAGCTTGTGTTAGCCACAGGGATCTCCTGGTTAAGTTTTTTCCGTGAAATATGGTACTAATCTCTGAGAAGAACGTGCAATACCTCACTAAATAATCCCAATTTTTGACTGTGTAATCAGAAAAAGCTAATTCTTAGTTTATGGTGTTTACTTCAGGTTGCATTTGGACAAAGTTACCGCGTCAAATGTTTATTCTAACCACGGTGGCTTTTTCTTGAAATTTCTCTAGCTCGCCCTCACCTGCTATTCTTCGGAACAAAATCGAATTATCCATTCCCAGACGGGACCTATCTCGCACTTTTCCAGTTTATATTCATTTTTGTTTCCAGCACAATTCACGTAAACATAAAGTTTTGATCGGCAAATTTCCACAACGTAGGAGATTATCTGGATATCAAGAAAGATCCGATTTAGCTCAAATCTGGCCTCTTTTTCTTCAATAAAACAGACTTGTAATGAACCTTTCATAAGTAAATGGTTTAATGTGTCTCGACTCACTTAAATAAACACCAATAAGGAAATCAAATGCATATTTTACTCTTCGCTCAAATTTCGATCATGAATTTCCATGAGTCAGGTCACCTACGGACATTGTGAAGGAAATTCAAAGGGCTGTAGTTTTGCGCGGCGCAGAGGACTCTGAGATAACAGGCCAGTCGCTGATAGATATAACCCCTTAATCTGATGTAGGTGCAAGAATTTGCGCTATAGCTAGGTTTGACCTGACAGATCTGTTCTTTTGTGTGTATGCAGCAAAGTCGTTGACTTCGCAAGGTCGCTACAATGTACGCTTTTAGAGATCAGCCAATCTGAACCCATCTGAGAGTCGAATTGAAAAAAATACCTGTCGACAGTTTTAATACCCCTCCCGCGTTTGCTAGCGGAGTACGCAGTCCGAAACACGCACTTAGACACGCCCATTTACATTCCTACATAACGTTTAGTACATGATCGACCAACCTGCTGGATACCGTCGGACGCGCTGCTCAATAGTTCTTTCAAGAATGATCAAAATCAAAGTGGTTGTACTATACGGCGTCGGCGTGTTGACGTTCTTGGCCCTTCTATTTATCACCTACCAAGCTGACCAATTTCTATTCCGCCACGTGGTTCAGGAGGCGTTAAACGGCAGCCGAAACTTGTTCAGATCGACCCCACTTCCTGATGTCAAGACGACCGAGTGGGCTCTACACAAACCGCCGGCTGCCTTCCCAATTTGCTCGTACCAAGAACCCTACGACCTCTCGTTCTGCCTTCCAACCAGCGAGAAAAGTAGTGTGGAAACCGTGGAAGGGAAGTGTTATCCAGAAAACGAATTATTTCCCACTCGTGGAAACAGATGCATTTTCTATGATATGCTTCAGACAATGCCTGACAGCGTTTTATCCACGGCCCGTCGTCCAGCTATATACTCAGTCTACCCACAGGATATTCCCCTTCCGATAGTTGTACAAGCCGTCAAAAACAACAGGCCGATTCCAGTGGTATTTACCTTATTTGCTAAAATGCAGTACACTAGTATCATACTATTTTACCGATATATGTATATATAGAGTAGGTGAGCTAAATCATAAAAAGTCAATAGAAAATGCGAAATGCGTTCTGATTTCGAAGAGATTAAATAAAAAGGCTTGTAAATCTAATCATAATGCATAATTCTATAAAAAACTTCTTTCCGTCTGCATCCAAAAACCAATATCATTAAAAAATACTCCTTAATTAGCGTGCATTTTTCTCACCGAGTTTCGAGTCTCTTAAAAATCCAAAAATTTTTCATAGCCATCATATGTAAAAGCACTCATTCTTTTGCTCGTTTGGTAGAACATTACGCATTCTTCCAATGTTATACTCGAAGGAAGGGTATAATTTGGTTTTTACAAGATTTTCCAATGCCCGAATAATATTTAATTCGACCTGCCGTTACTCTTGGATCCAGGGTTTCTAAACTGCAAGCCGTAAATTTTCAGCAAACGGAAAACCGTATATTTCTCTACGGTAAGAAGAGGAGACTATATGGGGTTAATACAATTTAGCAGTGAATTAGAGCCATATCGTTAACTTTACAAGTCACATTGGTATGAACTGCCATTTCACGGTATTAAAAAGTCCCCAATTAGAAACTTTTTAAAACTCGAATTATACCCCTTCCTTCGAGCAAAGAATTAGAAGATGTAATTTGCTGCCAAATGAGCAAAAAAATGAATATGTTTGTGCATATTTCTCATGAAATATAGTTGAATGTGTAAGAGCATTCAAAATCAGCTAGAAAAATGCACGCTTTTGAAGTGGCCATTTTTTACGGAGTATCGTTTTTGCTCTAAGCGGGAAAGAAGTTCGTTTGAATGCCGGCATCCTAAATAAACTTGATTATTATGGAATTACGCTGCAGGCTGACCAGTTTTACAACCCTGTTTAAATAATCTTTTTGAAACTAAAACGCATTTCGGAATTTCAGCTGACGTTTCATGAGTTAGCCCACCTATTGTATGTCTAGAGTACGGGATATTACGTTCGCTATATATATATATATATATATATGTATATATATAAAGACATTGATAGGCAGATGTTGCTTATGTCACCGCCGCCATCTCGAAACGACCGCTATTCACTTTGACCTTGAAGACGAAGTTGACACAGAACTCAGGATTGCCACCCATTCTGGACTCAATCATTATGCACTGGCAGTTGCCAAGCCTTGCCTTTGTAGCCGCTTGTAAGAATTTAAAAGAGACACATCAGTTGGGAAAGATACGTGTCTGGTAAGCGCATATATTTGCAAAATCTAAAAAAAATCGAATTTATATCACAATAGAAAAAAAAGTTATCACGGATAACGAGAGATGGCAATGGGCATAAGTACCTGTGAATACGGGATCGGGAAAGTTCTGAAGCAACAGCGCAAAACCCAAGCCGTCTCCACTTAATTTCACTTAGACCTATTAAGAAGTGGTTTTTTTATTAACCTGTTACTCAACGACTCATACAGTGGGTGGGCTAAGTCATGAAATGTCAACAGAAATTCCGAAATGCGTTTCCGTCTCGACAAGATTAATAAATTAGAATTGTAAAACTAATCCTCGTACAGCATAAATCTATAATGTTTAAGTTACTCCAGCACGCCGGCTTTCGCACAAACGTTTTTCCGGCAGCATCCAAACACCATATCCTGCAAAAACTGAATACTTATTAGCAGGAATTTTTTTCAGTGATTTTCGTTGCTCCTGAAGATTCAAATGTATTTCATGGAAAACATGCATAAAGGTAATCGTTATTTTGCTCATTCAGTTAACAGTTAAGTCTTCTTTCAGTTTTATACTCAAATAAAGGGTATAATTCGGTTTTCAAAAGTGTCTAATTATGAGATTTTTTAATAACGTGAACTGACCCTTCAAAAAGTGTCATGTCTCTGCATTTAACAATGTCGCTTGCAAACTTGAAAATGTCGCTGAAATCCTCCGCTTTATTTTCTGAACCCCATATGCTACCATCTTCATACGGCAAAGAACTGAATGGTTTATCGAACGCAGTCATTTTACGGTTTGTAGTTTGGGAACCCAGAATGAAAGTGGGTGGGGTTCAAAATTATTCGCGAATTGGAAAATTTCTATAAAACCAGATTATACCCTTCCTTCGAATGTAAAATCTGAAGAACTAACACGTAATCTTTCACAAAATAAGCCCAAGAATGAATATTTTCATGCATGTTTTCTATGAAATATAATAAATTCATTAAGAGCATCAAAAGTCACCGTAAAAATGCATGCTATATGAGTAGTCACTTTTTTACGGAGTAAGGTAATTGAATGCAGCCGAAAAGAAGTTTCTTCGAAAGCCGGCATGATCTACGGCAGTGATCGCGAGAGATCTTGAGAACAGTACGCATATGGTGCCAAGGCGGTTGAGTACTATTAATACTTTAGTCTTTGTGCCTCCGCAACCCTTGCCTGTGTTTTTTGCCCCCGAGAATGGGTTCAAGGGAGTCAGACAAGTAGAATTGCTGTCTTAGGCATCACATCTTTCTCTGATGGGCTGCCTTTTTCCGCATAACTGTGCAGCATAGCATACGCGAGGGGAGGGGCTTTTGGCATATCTGTTTAGCAATACGAAGGGTGATTTGTATCAGGTTTTAGGAAGTCACAAAACAGCGAAACTTGTTGATATGCACTTCGCTGTTTATACTCCGACTTGGGTTTGAAGTGCAGGTGACGATAAATATGGGTGAAATTTATTTTTCTAGATTGCCGCATTTTTCATGATGTATGCTAGCGACTACTGCCTCATTTCAAGCTGTATTTGTCAGAGGTGAATGCAAGGAGTGTTTAAACTTTTGACACGGATATGTGCACAGCTAATGTTAAATTAGCAAAAGTAGGAGATCCGGGTTGATAATCTGAGGAAAACGAAGTGCTCACTGAAGTGCTTCTTCAACGGATAGAACACTTGGTGGTACCCAATTATCAACTTAAGTTCTGGGCTTGTTACGTCGATGACACCGTTGCCATTGTCAAATCATCTGACGTGGAGACCCTCAACGAATTACCGAACTCGGTTGACCCCAATATTCAATTCAGGATGGAAGCTGAAACAAACAACCAACATCCATTACTCGATATACTTGTGCGTCGGTGTGCAACTGGGCAATCACAAACTATCGTTTTCAAAAAAGCCATCAACAAAAGACAAGTACTACACTTCAACAGCTATCGCCTCCTCTCTCACAAACGCAGCCGTGTCCGTACTCTATTTCAAATAAGTGAAACACACCAGCCGACAATAGAGTTGCACGACAATACATTCATGACCTCTTTCGAACCAATGTATACCCAAGCTACTCCATCAAGCAAAGTAAGTGCCGAGTCGACAGACGACGGCCACAGGAAGAACAACCCGACGTCTAAAGGGCTATTCCTTACATAAAAAGGAGTCTCCGAGGCGGTTTCATGACTGTTATAACCCGCCAGGGTAGGCATTGCCCATCGACCCCAGGTATCAATTCGTCGCCCTTTGATACAATAAAAACACATCCTGCCACGCACTGAAACCTCAGCTATTGTCTATCAAATACGTTTTAACGATGAAGACTGCAACTACGTTGGGGAAATCAGACGGAAATTGCAGACCCGCCTACATTAGCACAAACTAGCAACTCGGAGACTAGACTCAAACTCCCTGTTCTGCGGCTTACGTCAGAGAAAATGGTCACAATTTGGATTTTCAAGAAACAGCCGTCTTAGACAGGGGCACCTCAAGGACAGAGCGTCTCACACTTGAGCCATGGTAATCAGATGCCAAATCTATCAACAGGCGTCTAGACCTCCCTTCAGCCTATAAAGTCTTACTTCATTACACACGATGTGACGAAGACAAAACGCTCATACGGAGCATAAGACTACCAAGAAAGCATGGCCTGTCAACCAATTCGTCCAAAAGGGGGACGCAAACGCAACTAACTCCAGTTGAGGTGACGACACAAAATATAGGAGGCCACCAACACTCACAGGCGACGACCGGTAGGCCAAGGCAGCGAAAGAAGAACAAAAGTCGACCAGTCCAAGGCCAACTAATCCGGATGTCCATTCAAAACTCTGATCGATTTTCACTAGACGCTTTAATAATTAAAGGCTGCCCGAGGTCTTCGAAACGTCAGCCATGCAAGTCCCTCCATTTTTTCAGGCTTACCAATGTCAGGGCCTTATTTTTATGTTGGCGTGTGACACATAATGGGTAAGTTAGGTGCCCGAAAGTTCGCACCTGTCGGAGGACATTGCTTTTGACTTAAGGATGATTATTCTGGTCAATGGCTAGGAATCGAATTAGCGTCAGGTGTTAGAATTTCGACTTGAATTTAGCATCTAGGGTAAACAGTTTGGTATCCTGGACGTAATTCAAGGTCGATAATGAGTGAAGACTGCTCTTTCATTTTTCGCCGAAGGCAATATTGGCCACACACTCTCTTCAACGGCGCGTAGAGGTTTCCCATCATGTCAGATTTTCCGCACTGGACGCATTGATCAGTTGTGACTTATGTTCAGATCGAGTCTCCAAGTTATTCCACCAACTCGATAAGTGCTGAAAACTACTCCGGTAAAGACATACATGTGCACTGAGAAAAGTAAACTAAGGTCTCAATTTTCCATTTTGTCCTGGGATTGGATATTTTCTTTATTTGAAGTTGGTTTACGATGAAAAGCGAACACCACATTAATTTTCTCGACTGCGTCCCCACCGAGGTTCATGACCAGCCTATTTGTGGTTGGGCTATTAAGCTGAAGAAAAGTAAAGGCTTTGAGCTGCCACATATAAGGACAGAACGAAAGAATTCGGGAGAGTTCTTCTCCTCCGACTACTGTGCGTGCTTTTCTTGAATAGGCCAGTTATCAAATGCGTGGCCGTGGTCTGTCAACATTTTTAAAGCGATACGGTTATTCATAGATTCAGATAATTACTTTCTGCTGATCTAAGAAGCATGGACTATATTGATTTGGTTTATACAACAGTTTCTTCACAGAGGATAGACGGTGTCTCTATGGATTCGTTTTACTGTTATTTGCAGAGCAAAATGCTGGCACCAACACGGGAAGAGCCTAACTAAAGCGTTACCCTTATTTCCAATTGTACCATTATTATACTTCGGATATGATTAACTCCTGTTGTTATATATTTTGTTCCTAACAGCGTCCTCGCACTAATAATCTGTGTCTGTTAACCATAAAAATATTAAACGTTGAATACTTTTTATTCACTTCCAGCATCCTGGATTAGAAGTGAGCACCTCCCACGAACGACTTTTTAATTAAACTTTAGACGTCTTACATATTCAACTGTCATTTTTGTAGGGCAGCAGAGAGCTTTGCCTGGCGTTACCATGGTAGGTTAGCCGTTAACTTACGTTTGTGATTAGTTCTTTATCAAGGAAAATTTCCCACTCCCAGTAGCACCGATGTACTGCCTCGACTATTTTTAGCACAGAGTGATCTTCTACCTGTAGGTTCACTTTTCCGAAAAAAAATTCGCTATCCTTTATCTGCTTGATCTTCTAAGCTTACTTGCCGACAACTATTAGCCCGACTTTACGAAGGAGTATTTTTGTTTTTAAAAAGCCTTCAATCATGAGACATTTTGAGATCGTGAAATAGCTACCCCTAAATCATGCTTTCCGTCCTTTTATTAATGCTGCCTGTAAAGAATACAACATGCTCCACATCCACTGCAAAGTTTTACGAGCCCTAAACCACATCTTAATATCATATATAAATATATGATTTTTCCCGCAGATGAAATATGGAATTTGTAATTTGCAAGTGTAACGGCAGATCGGGTTCAAATATTATGGAAACTGGAAAGTTTTTTAAATCTTAATTATGCACTACGTTTAAGTATGAAATGTAGAGAAGACGCCATTTTCTGCCAAATGAACAAAGAAATGAATATTTTCGCGCACTTGTCATACATATATTTAAATTTATAAGCACATCGAGAACGAATCGGAAAGTATCATACGACGTTGAGTGGATGTGTTAGCTCATGAAATGTAAATCGAATTTCGGAAGAACGTTTTCAACTCGAAAATATAACCCACGTATGATTATAATATTGGTTGCCTTACAACATAATCCCATAATAATACATTTTCTTCGGGATTCCCGCTTTTAAATGCACTCCTATCCAGTCGCCTGCAAAAACTAAACTCTGCTAAGATTGGCTACTTATTTAGTATGAATTTCTCTAATTTATTGTAGATTGTTAAATAATTTCAAATATTTTTCATTACAAGTGTACATTAACATAATTCTCATTTTACTCATTCGGGAGCAAAATACGTCGTCTACCAATTATACACTTTAACTAAGGATATAAATCGCCTTTGAAAATCATTAATTGTCAAGACATTTTGAAGCCCACCTGTCTTTCCCTTTGCATTCGGTGTAGGAAAACCTAAAGCTATATATTTTCTGTGTACGCAGAATCATATATTTCCCTACAATATTAGGAGGGGACTATGTGGGGTTCATGAAATCTGGCAGTGGATAAGAGCCATGCTATAAAGTCTTCAAGCAAAATAAGTAAATACATAGAACGACATTTCACGGTCTTAAAAATCTCATAGTTCGAAAGTTTTTTGAAAATGAATTACACGTATATTTTAAGAAAAAAATCAGGAGACGTTATTTTTCAAAAATTGACAACTTCTTTACATGTTTTCCAGGAAATATAATTGAATTTATAAGAACACTGAACATCGGTTGGTAGAGTTCGTACTTAATAAATAGTCGGCTTTTGAAGAATGCAATTTTTGCAGACGGTCGAAAGGAAATTTTTTTCAAAAGCCGGAATTCTGTGGTAACTGAAGTAATATAAAATTATAGCGCAAGGCAATTATTATTACAACACTGCTTTAACAATCTTTTCGGATCGAAAACGTATTTCACAATTTCGGTTTACATTTCATGAGCTAGCAAACCTACTGTAAGCAGTCGTGTAGTTTTTGCAAGAAAATCCTTCAAAAGCCGGCATTCTGATGTGTGATGGATTCTACTATTATTATTTAGTCTTATGACCCTACTTAAGTAATATTGTCTTATCAAAGATACCTTTCCGGATTTCGGTTAACGTTAATGAGAGAACACATCCACTGTACCAACATCATTTGTTATTTAGAGTGGGTAAAAGTACATTTGGCGTAGTTTTTGAAACCCACTACCACACATTTTCAGGTCCCCATAAATAACCCCAAACTTGTGCTGCTACGCACAAGTCAGTCTATCTGCCCTCTCACCAGAAATCGGAGTCGCGCACGGTACGACCTAATCATCATTGTCAAGAGTTCACCAGGCAATGCAGCATGCCGGTCTCAACTGCGCCAGCTGATCAGCCGTCAAGCGGCCACGCTGGCCAGTCCTGTCGGGCTCCGCTTCAGCCTAGGCGTCCAGGCCGACACCGTCAGCCAATCACGACTCCTGCATGCCATAAACGATGAGGCCGCCCGTTTTGATGACATCATCCTGACCGACTTCATGGACACCTACTATAATCTGACTCTGAAGAATCTGGCGAACCTGCGATATGCTCATGTGGCCTGTCAGGGAGCCGCTCCGCTGGTCGCCTTCATGGATGATGACCATGGCCTCAATTTGTCAGCTTTGCTCCCCTATTTTCGCGCCTTCGAAAGGCGACAGCTGCTGCAATCTGTCTTCGGCCACATACACGGCACGCCAAAGGTCATTCGCAGTCCAGAGCACAAGTGGGCCCTTACGAGAGGCGATATGCCCTTCTATATGTATCCGGACTACGCCGCTGGTCCATGCTACTTCATCGGCGCGGAGGCTGTGGAGGCAATTTCGATAGCCGCAGCCTTCACCAAGCCGTTCTCCATGGAGGACGCCTATGTGGGCATGACAGCGACGAAGCTGGGCATCCACATGCACCAGTTGCCAGGTGTATACCTTCATGGACCTAGAGAAGGATTACTATCACAACAGACGCCACTAGTAGCCTTGTTGAAATACTTCGAGCAGTATACACCTTAGAACTACATGTACTATTTATCAAATGTGCGCCTGTTTTAAAACACTGACGGATATGATGCAATCTGTTTTTGTTAAGCATCAGTGTGCTCGTTAAAGTGTTGGAAAAGTCCGCGGTTTCTGAGACCATCGAGAAAGATCTGTAAAATTAAAGAGAACTTTATAAAAGAATACATCTACTCTCGATAAGTTCTTTTCAGGCCTGTGCATTGATATGGCTATTGAAATAGCAAATCAAAAGATACGGGAAAGATAATTATGCTGTATCTCGGGTTTGAGGGAGATGGAGGGGAGTGAAGCACCAAAATGCCAGTCAACGCCAAAGGGGTGGTGGACACAGGAAACGGTGTATATATGCGAGCAAGTGACTTGGTGACTTTGTACCATGGCATCTGTGGGAACTGAAGTTCTTCTGTGCACACAGGGAAGGTTTTCTTAGCTTGATTTGTCTCTGATTCTTCTCACTTCCCAGCAATACTTCAGAAAGAAAGAGGGGAAGTCGCTTTATTTTGAAATCATAAGTTCAAAATTTTCTGCAGAAATTGACTCCATTCACTATAGGCAGTTAACAAGTTAATAGATTATTCAAGAGTCAAAGTTTAACACAAAAGAAACGATTATGATAGGGATAGTTCAAGTCCTTGCTTCTGTACTTCTATTTCTTTGCACGTAAGATAGCGCGCCAAGAATGGCAATACAGAAGCTCGATTAGCCGATTTGCGACATGAAATAAGTCGGAAGCTGCGGCACATCGGGACGGAAGACCTCGCAGCAATAAGTTTAGAATGCAAGGGATGGGCAACGTCATCTATAATCCGACGACCAAATTGCTTGAACGCATTGAAATGCCGTTGTAAGATAGTTTCAACTAAAAAAGATAAGAAACACCAGCAGCAGAAGAGAACATGCGGAGTACTCGTTTCAAAATTAAAAGATCCTTTTTAAGCAAACCAGAAAAAAATGACAGGAGAGTAGTATAGGATAAGAGGACGAATGCAGGCATCGATAAATCGCCAGACTAAGAACAGAGGTGTGTAGTAGGAACGTAAACGACGAATGTAATGCAGAGGTTTATAAACTTTAATAAATAGGGACTTAATATGGAGGAAAAATGACAGATTTAAGGACAAATTAACGCCGAGGTATCTGAAAGAGAATACTTTGTTAGGAAGAATGTCATAGGATTATGGACTAGGAGAGGGCCTCAGGCGAAAAATATACTGAACTGATTTGTCGTTGTTCATTAAGACACCATTTTCCTCCGACCATACAAGGGCATGATTTAAGCCATCCCTTAGATACTTGAGGTGTGTCTGACTTTTGAGAGGATGTCCAACAACCACATCATGAGCATACTTGACCAAAAGACAGTCATTAGGGGACGTTAGATAGTCATTGTGAAGAGAGAAAAGGTGAGGCGATAGAATGGAACCTTAAAGAAAACCACAGTCATTGGGATGGATCGTAGATTTCCGCTCGCCATATTGGACGAATTGAGTGTGGGAAGTAAAATAATCGCTAAGCCAAGAGACGACTTAACCTGGAGAGCCGCGCGCGGAGATTTTAGAAAGGAGAAAAGGGCGCGAAACGGTATTGAAGGCGGAGGAGTAATCAAGAAAAGCGAATGCGTACTCGCAGCAACTCTTGTCTAATGCTTTTAAAGCAGAGTGGACCACAATAGCAACAGCATCTAAAGTACTCCGTTTGGCTTTGTATGCAAATTGCAGAGGGTAGGAAAAACAAGAGGAAAAAGGCTTTATAATATCTGAGGCAACTCTTTCAGCCAGCGTTAGTAATTCGGAGGAGCAAGCAATTGGACGAAAAGATTAAGGACCAAAGTTAGAAGGCTTTTTTAGAGTGGAAGTGATTCTCACTGTACGCCAGGTGTCGGGAGTCTTGGACGCCATGAAAGACATATTACTTAGGTTGTCTAAAATAGGGGCTATCTTAGAACTATATGATATAAGAAGAAAAGGGGAGACACCATCCGGTTCGGCAGGTGTTGATCCACGGACCTGTTTAAGGTGTTTGTATACTGTTGCCAAAGACACGGGTTGGAATGTACACGGTGATAGGGGAATGTTATCTAAGGTAAGATGGGAGTCATTGTGACTAAATATAAATTTTTTATTTAGGGAGTCTAAATCTACATCCAAAAGCACCTGTGATTTGCAATGGCCAGTAGACGCTTAAGGTTTTTTTCAAATCCCAGATGAGGAAGGGGGAAAAAGGTTGGCTAACAAATAGGCTATTTAGCCTGTCAATCTCTGTTTTTATTAAGACGGTAACGTCCTTAAGGCTATCACGTAAGCCTAGCTTGTAAAGGAGTTCTTTTTTACGTCTTAACGATTTCACATAGGGGAGAGAAATTATATCCGGTCGTACCATTACAGTATCAAAAGGGCAGAAAATATCGAAAATTTCATTTAAAAACGCTGTCAGGTTCAAAGAACATGATTCACCATTAGTATGTTCAAGGACAGTGGGGATAGTAAGAGAAATGCAAGTCTGAAGCATGATAATGTTTTGGGCGGACGTGTTGCGAACCTTAACCTTTCTCTCAGGCTTGGCAAGCAGTGCATGTTTTGAAGTGGAATAGATTTTTGGAAGGCACAATAAAAAGGAATGGTCAGAATCTGACAATGGAGCCCTGTTTTTTACGCAAAAAAGCTTGCTGCGGTTAGTCAGAATATGATCCAGAGGGGCATCTGCGCGTGCATTAAAGAAGACAAGATCACCGAAGACTAAGAGTATTAGGGGACGTAAATTTACGCGATTGAAATAACCGCATAAGAGAATAAGATATTCGCAGGATAATATAGCAAGTTTTGTGAAAGAAAGACGAACAACGGATAAGTGCACCTTCACAGGAAGAGGGGGAAATGTAAATACTAACAAATGTAATGCCTTTATAATTAGTGACACTGAACTACTATTTTCCGTGTGAGCGCATTGCTGAATTATTTCGGCCAATTTTACGAAAGATCAGAGGCAAAACTCGCTAATGGTAGTGAGTCAAAACTTTGAATTAAACCTAAGGCAATGCTGAGTGCTGTCTGTCGACTTCGGCAAAGGACACGATAAACAGGATAAATCTAGCTCCTGTTGGCCTTTATTTACCAATTTTGTCCGGACATAAGCGAAATTTAACTTACTGCCCCTCTGATCAGCTTCGTGGTGGGCCCCACGGAGTAGACTTGCGCGATTATAGCTAAACGGGCTTAATGATTCGCGGTAACACTAGGGTAAAGAACCCCATTTAACCGTCAGGAGACTGTGGATCCTGTCATATGGGGTTTTTTTTCCTGGCATCCACTTGTAGGCCTTTGGCAGACATCACACTGCCATCAACGATTACTATTCATGACCGCGAACCATTAATCAAGCTCCTTTATTTTGGAAAATTTGTTTTTTCTTTGTTTACTTCTTAATTAACACCCTCATTTGCGTTGCCATGCGAAAGCGTACAATAAGACTTTCGGCGGAACTCCAGACAACTTCTGTGTCTTCTTGCATTTCGTCAGCTTTCTGTCGGCTTTGCTGCCCCACCCGTAAACCCTCATTATCACCGCTTTATTTTGCCAGAATTCACAGACTGCCGACAGTTAAGTGGGCTCCTTCACCCCAGCAATGCCGATTTTTCATAAGCGGAAGAAGTCCAACTTGTAATCTTAAGACCCGGCAATGGTATGGTTTGTACCTGGAATCAACAACATATAGCTCGAGGACCGTGTCTAACGGGCACGGTGGGGCTTATACGGGTGGGGCATTTTGATGCACGCAAACGTAATTCAATAAAAAAATGAGAAAATAAGTAAAATAGCATCGAAAACCTTTATATGCGCTTAGAAGGTAAGCAACGACTAGGCGCAAACATTCGAAAACCTAACCAGAAACGGTAGTCAAGGAAATTCGGGCAACTGAATTAACCGTCGCCAGCTGAATAAATGAAGGTCAGGTTCCAAGAGGACTAGCAGCCAATGGGAATTGGCCGCGAGCGTTAATCGAAAGTGCAAATAACGCAAATCGTGAGCTGTACCAGGAGACGCAATAAATGTCAGTAATTTGGAAAAAAATGCAAAACGTAGAATAAGAAGGAGGTATAACAAGGTAAGCTAAGTGAGTGTAAGAAAGAATAAAATAAAATGACAAGACTGGTAATGTAAAGAAGCAGAGGCAGTATGCTATTACCGACAAAGACAATGGAGACTGGAATGGGCATTTCTGGCCTACTAGCCGTCGTCAGCCATTCATACCCAACACCAAAGTGTGGAATACACGAGGCTCGAACTGGCGAATTGCTGGTTTGACGTCCACGCCTCTAGCCGCTGGGCCGCGAGCCAGTTGTCCGGTCGGTTTCTACCGGGAATATACAATGCTAGTGGGCGCTCACCGATCGTTCTTACGGAAATCAATCGTTCCGTCATTGTCGAAAATGACATTCTGCCTATATTATGCGCCGCTATGCGGATTCTGGTTGGGCTCGAGAGAAAGCCCTAAAGTACAACGGAACGGGCTTACGCAGCATTTATCTCACCCCCGCTTCTTGCTCATCAGCCTCCGTTGGCAAGAAAGTGTCGAGTCAACCGGAGGTCGGCTTGATGCAGGGACTGAGAAAGTCAAAAAGCTAGTCTACGCGTGTTTCACGACTATGTCGCCGCATAATCTGTTCGCAGATAGTACCGGCGTGGATAGTGCGCCAGTGGGAGTACAATAGAGACTACATTAGGAGGCGGCCACAATCCGTCAACCAGTCACTCCACATACGCATAATATACTACCTACACATACTACGTTATCATCTCAGTTAGCAGCGTTTCGGGCCAAAAACTTTAGCGCTTCAGAGTTATTATTAGTGGAGGATTCGCTGATTGGCCATAGGAATGGATTTCCACCGTTATCCTTAATTGCCCTTCAGTCTTCCACGCTCAGGTCGACTGTCCGGCCTGATGTTGATGAAGATGAGTGACTGACGGTTCAAAACAGTCTGCTTCTCTGGCTAC